TTTGATATGTATCACACGGCCTTAAAATGAACATGTGGCCAGGCTATGGAAGTTAAAGTATTTACATATTCCAAACAAGCAGTAAAGGATTAAGCCATTACAGACATCTGCAGCTGCAGCCATTATGAAGTAATTATTCTTCAAAGTTCACAAAAGAAGCACTTTCACTCAGCTCACACTGTTCTCCCTCCCATTGTAACTTGGCAGCCTGCTACCCTTCTAATCTCCCACGTAAACATAAAGCAGGTATAGTGCATGAGGAGAGCAGAGGAGACCCAGTCTGGACAACTTCACTGCTCCTCTTTTGAACTTTGAGGATTAATTGCTCCACTGTGCTTGCAGTTATAGAGGTCAGTATGAGCTTGTTTTAAAAAAATAATTTACTGCTTGTTAGGAACATGTAAATATTTGACTGCCTTTAGCCTGGATACATGGGCGCAAGGTGTCTTCAGTCATCCGTTATTCCTGCTTGGAGTCTGTGAATGGTTCTCGCAGGCAGTTCATGTGCCACTTTCATTTTCAGGTAGCCACATAATTACAGTCCCTGATGTGAATCTTTGTTTCAGTTAAATTTTTCAAATTTTTGTAGGTTCTGGGTTTAATTGTGAACTATCAAAATATTTTCTCAAACACATTGTAACCATATTATTACTGACATGGTACCAAAATCAGTTTTAAGCAAAATAAAACAGAAAGTAGCATGGGAATATACAAAATAAAATAAATCTATAAATCCCCATACAGGCATTGTCCAATCATCAACCTCAAAAACAGGGATAACAACACCACCTACCATATCAGTGCAGCAGTGTCAGTGTTGTCAGTCCATGGAAGGAAGTTTGCTACAGCTTGTATTTCTGGCAGAATTGTTAGGTCATGTTTACTACTGATAGCAGCATGATAATAACAGGAATGAATGTGCAGGTAAGCTTTGCTTTAAAGAAAGTTTTAATTTTTGTTCACACATACATTTTAGTGGAATATAAAAGTACATTTTCAGAGAAACAACAATATCAGGGGGAGGATATTGATATCTGGTAGATCTCCATTATGATGTGGTTGGAACTTAATATCATGGATGTCAGTTTCACCACCTTCAGCAAAGTGCCAGTTCTAAATGTGAAATGTGACAGAGGTTGGTTTAGGAGTTCAGAATAGGATATACCGTACATGAACAAAAAAGAATAATATTTATGACATTTAATAAAATATCAACATTCCATGAAAATGTTTGTGTTTTAGTGCTGTCTTGTTATTTTTATAGATATTTGGGTGAGTCTCTCATCATAGAGATAGCAGCTACACAATTCTTTAGAATTAGGTTGTGCTTTATTTACAATTATCTATGGCGCAGTTCATATGATTTTTAGCTTTAATTTAATAAAATACAATGAAAATAATACCAAAACATCAGGTGCCAAATGATGTATACTAGTAACGGTTATTATGTAGAAAGTAGCAAATTCCACAAATGAAGAGCCCAGGGGCAGACAGACAACTCATGGGGCCCCCAGGCAATAAGGGATCATAGGGCCCCTGTGTCATTGCCCAAGCTCAAAAAAGCCTATGAAAAAAGGTACCAGGGGCATCTCATGGGGCCCCCTACTGACCCCGAGCCCTCGGGCAGTGTCTGAGTTTCCAAATGGTCAGTCCGCCCCTGGAAGACCCTGAACACCAAGATAGTATATAAATTCATTACTTTGGTCCAATGTAACATTTTACTTCTACTTGGCTATATTCAGGAGATTGTTTCATCAATTAAACATGTTATATAATTTTAAGATATACCAGTTGAAGCCGAATCGGTAAAACACGTCACTTGTTTTGGCATGTTTTAACACAAAAAATACTACCCAGGTTTTTGTAAATTTTCTTTTAATATCGATAGCTTTAAGGAATCAACAACTAAAGACTTAATCTTGTAAGAAAATGTTATGTACTGTACAGGATGCTGAGGATGGGTCCTAGACAGGTGCTATGTCTCACCCATTTTTGGGTTGTGATCCCTTCAAGGGAGATGGTTGTGGTGTACTCAGGGGTTCTCACTTGTGCAGGGATAGTTCAGTAATAAAGAGAAGGAATGAATTACAGTTCTCTCCACACTAATAATTTCCTGTTTGGGACCCAGAATTTTGGAGGTTCAGAGAGATATTTGGGTGGGAAAGAACCTCCACCCCTGATTATGGGGACTCTAGTCTCAACGTGGTTAAGCAGCCTCCAGGAAGCAACACTTAAGACAGGAAGCTCCTAGTGCTGGGGTGAAGTAGTAGGAGTAGTAGGAGACACATGGCTGAGTGATGCATGCGAGCTGGAAGCTGCCAAACAACTGAATCTGGATTTCTTAAATTTGGGTAACTCTCTTACAGGAACTTTGTACTGCATGTGCTATATTTCATTTGTGCTGAAGCCAAGCAGACTTTTGAGAAAATAAAGACTTTAATGTTTAAGAGAAACAGCTTTGCATGTAATCCTGAAGAGCTATCATTGTGGTTATACCCCTGAATTTTACAGTACATAAACTAAACAAGTGCTATGATGTATGGGATATATGGAAATAATGCCTTAGGAAATATGCAAACAAATTGATGGCAAGTAAGATGGCAAAATGGAAATGCAAAATGACAGGAGCATTCCAGTTCCATATATCAATTTTCTGGCACTGTTGGCCTTGGTAAGGATCATGCAGCTAACTATTTATGTGATTTCATCAGCTGAGGGAATGATTGACTTCAGATAATCAAAATAATCCTAGGGCTACATGTTCATGTGTATGGGTGTCTCTCTTCCACTTTGTGCAGAGATAATTATCAATTACTGCTTGGAAATTCTGTTTTTACATGTAAGAAAACACCTGAAAACAGTTGGGATGATATTAGCTTGTCATCAAACAGCCCCAGAACATACTGTACATCGCATCTAAAGCAGTGGAAGCAGTGCCCGTGCTTTTTATCACTTCCTTTTCACCTTCACAATAAAAGAGTTAAGGATCATCACCATCAACAAACTAAAAATCATTGCAAACAAGAACATGCTGTAAAAAACATTAGTCACCACCAAGGGAAGACATTATTGTCCAAGAGTAAAAAGTCAGAAATTGAAATAAATACTAGGTAGCATGCCCATACATCACATGTCAAAATAACTATTTTTAGTGATCAACAGTAGAGCAAACGTCTTAGTTCCTCTACCATCCAAATTAGTTTGTTGCAATGATACCATTCAAGGGTGTGTAATTTTCGAAGAGATAAGTAGATTGTCATTAGAGAGAATAAAGGTGATTGGCTATCCTTGGTTAAGTCCAGTCAGATTGCATATCTGGACAGCCAGTACATTTTATCATGACAATAGAGGGGGAGGGTGCTATAGGTATTTCCAATTCATGTTGATTTTTGCCCTCAGTAAAGAAATGTAAATACATATTTACTGTGGAAAAATCTTTAATAAAAAAATGTAAACCTTCATATTCACTTAGAATCAAATACTGCTTTTAAAGAGCAAATCCACACAACAAGGAAATGTAATCAGTGAGCTATTAATTCAATCCAGAAAATGCCACACCCAGTAACTAGTAATTTTCACAGGTGCAATATACATCATTATAGGTATAATTACTACACAATCAATTTTTAATCCACAGAAAGCTATGATTTTGTAAAATTGCCAAAGATTCAAATTTCTTGTAACCATGGAAATAGAACTTTTTGTACAGAACACCATAGTATGCTCATTCTTGTTTTCCTGAGATCGGCAAACTGATTTTCTCAAAAGCCAGCACTGTGCTTATACAAGCTTTATTGAGCAAGGGAACTAAATAGATCCCAAGGTTTCAGTATTGTATCCTGTAACAACTTGAAATTATAGCCAGGTCCTCCCACTTAGTTTGAGGAAGTTGATACAATGGTTTGCCTCAGTTTCTATGGAACAGAAAGAAGTAGTAATATTCTATAAAATTTGCATTTATCCTTCCAGTGCATACTACAATCTAGAAGTAATGATGAGCGAACTGAGCAAAGCTTGCCTCTCTGGATATTCATGAAACACTTTAAAAAAATTGTAAATCCCGAACATACAGTACAATAGCACCTAAATCCCATTAAAGTCTGTAGGAGTCAAATCTTGTATTTCGTTCTCACATTTTGTTCTCTCTATTCCAAGGCCAATTTGTAAGCTTTTGCTAAAAAGTGTATGGGTAGCTAGGCACTGTCATGGGGGATATATATAAATGCAAATTTAAATAATGCTACACATGATATTTCTTGGATATCCTGAATGCCAACAAACAGGCCAAATGACTGCATTGACCAAATGTCAACAAACTGGCCAAATGACTTTATGACCATATTTGATCAATTAGGCAACCTGGGATCCCACTGCCTGAGTGTTTACAATTTGAAACAGTCCAACAGGGGGCATCTGGAAGATTCATTTAGTGGTGGTGGTAGATACACTATATTGCCAAAAGTATTGGGACTCCTGCTTTTACATGCAGATGAACTTTAATGGCATCCCAGTCTTAGTCCATAGGTTTGAATATTGCATTGGCTCACCCTTTGCAGCTTTAACAGCTTCAACGTTTCTGGGAAGGCTGTCCACAAAATTTAGGAATTTATCTATGGGAATGTTTGACTATTCTTCCAGAAGCGCATTTGTGAGGTCAGGGACTGATGTCGGACGAGAAGGCCTGGCTCTCAGTCTCCTTACTAATTCTTCTCAAAGGTGTTCTATCAGGTTGAGGTCAGGACTCTGTACAGGCCAATCAAGTTCCTCCCCCACCAAACTTGCTCATCCATGTTTTTATGGATCTTGCTTTGTGTACTGGTGCGCAGTCATGTTGGTATAGAAGGGGCCATCCTCAAACTGTTCCCACAAAGTTGGAAGCGTGAAATTGTCCAAAATGTCTTGGTATGCTGATGCCTTAAGAGTTCCCATCACTGAAACAAAGGGGCCAAGCCCAACCCCTGAAAAACAACCCCATGCCATAATTCCCCCTCCAGCAAACTTTACACTTGACACAATGCAGTCAGGCAAGTACTGTTCTCCTGGCAACCCCCAGACAAAGAAGTATGATTCATCACTCCAGAGAACATGACTCCACTGGACTAGAGTCCAATTGCGGCATGCTTTACACATCCAACTGCATCCAACGTTTTGCCTTGCATTTGGTGACGTAAGGCTTGGATGCAGCTGTTCTGCCATGGAAAACCATTCCATGTAGCTCTATACACACTGTTGGTGTGCTAACCTGAAGGCCACACAAAGTTTGGAGGTCTTTAGCTATTGATTTTGCAGACAATTGGAAACTTCTGCGCACTGTGTGCTTCAGCATGCACTGACCCCACTCTGTCATTTTATGTGGCCTACCACTACATGGCTGATTTGCTGTTGTTCCCAGTTCAGTCCACTTTGTTATAATACCACTAACAGTTGACTGTGGAATAATATTTACTAGCAAGGAAATGTCACGGATGGATTTATTGCACAGGTGGCAACCTATCACTGTACCACACTTGAATTCATTGAGCTCCTGAGAGCGATCCATTCCTTCACAAATGTTTGTACAAGCAGTCTGCATGCATAGGTGCTTGATTTTTTACACCTGTGGCCATGGAGGTGATTGGAACACTTGAAGTCAATGATTTGGAGGGGTGTCCCAATACTTATGAAAATGTAGTGTATATCACCAGTAAATGAATGACTGCAGCAGCCAGAGGTAAACTGGCCAAATCTGGTCATACTCATGGTCAACCCAAACCTGAAGCTCAACCCTGTCCAGGGGAGGAATATATATATATATATATATATATATATATATATATATATATATATATATAATTTTTTTTTTTTATATTTTTTTTTTACAAAAACACACTCATATTACAATATACAATATACTGGGATGAAACATTTATGTTTTTCTGACTTTGAGACCAGTTTTAAGTCTTTAGCAGGAAGCCAATGGAAGCAGTACGGAGGAGGCTGGTAGCTGAATAAAAAAATTAAAATTCCAAAGATTTACTTTCCAGATTATGGACACCCTATCACTTAAAGTGATCTCAAACTCAAAAGCTGAAGATTCGATATTTGTTATAGTTGAAACCTATTGTTATACAAAGGTTAAACAGTGAATTTCCTGGTATGTGAGTGTGCCTAGGCATTCCTGTGCTTACAGTCACGTTGCTGTATATCTGAAGTGTCAGATCCAAGGCACTGCTAACACAGAGTACTGGTCTCAGGAGATCTACCGTAAGATTTGGTGACATCACTACTGTGCTGCCCACTCTTCACCTTTTTAGAGGCTCTGACATGAAGAATTAAAGCCACTACCAAGATGACCACCTTCACACAGAGACCCAGTGCAGAACGAAACATGGCATGTCAGTAATAGGGAAAACATAAGCTTCAGGGAAACCACAGGCAACCCTGGTGACTAGTCTTGTGCCATCTTCCTGTCTTATTTCAGGACAGTTTTCAGGGTGCAGGTGCTATTTCACAATATACATTCTAATACAGAAATAACTAAGATGTGGAGAACCTGTGAATTATCTAAAAAAAAGAGTTTTTGGAATTCCCTTCTAATTCTAAATAACTTGTTCTACCACATTACACACTAGAAAGGCTGTGCTTTGTATTCAAATAGCACTCAGAAACAGATACCAATATGAATGTTAAATCACATATCAAATTAGTCTTGTAGAGAATTGTAATGCGAAGTGCCAGTAAAAAAAAAATGTGAATTTCTGTCACAAAACAGATGGCTATTTGCTGCTGCCTTAAAGCTATATGTGAAGTTGCTGTTGATAATGGAAACACTGTGTCATTAAAGATATACAGCTCTAGGTGAAACATCATCATGTTTCCCATCACTGTGAAAGCATTGAGTTTAATAGCGAACATCTCTCGTTTCACCCCTTTGATCAGCAGATTGAATATGGTTATATACATAATGTATATGACATAGCACAGTGATGGATGTTATAAGGCCAATTTATATTTAAGGAGATTACTCGCCTCTCATTGTCACTCCTGCAAATGTCACTGGGAAACACTGGTTGTCACCTGTTGAGAAAACTATTCATTGCCATGGAATGAAACATGAAATGCACAGAAGTGATTTTACACAGCACTTGTTTTCTTAACGTCATTTGTGGCCTGAAAAATTGATGGATTACTATGAGAATGTCTGTAGGAAACTTAACATACATAAGCAAGATAGCCTAACCTAGAAAACTTTGAGATTAAAATTAAGATAAAGTGACTTTTTAATATAATTCCATATCCCTTTTACTACTAGGTAAGAGGTTTATATTCTTTTGAGAACCCAAACTTCAGAGTATGCAACTTGACCTAAAGTGGAAGTAATGTGTCATAATCAAAAAGTGCTGACAGGCAGGCTTTTTTTTTAATGACAGAAGAGACTGTAATTATCTTCTGTCCTAGATGCTCCTACTTGTCTGTCTGGCCTTTGTTTTCTGTTGGTGTAAACTGAGACACTCATTCACAACTCAGCATCCAAACTTGACATAATTCTGTGTAAAGACAAAGCAACTCCAATGCACATTGCCAAGAGTTTAATCATATAGCCCTCTCCAAGAAGACTACAAACCCAAAAGGAAGACTGGGAGAGGATGAAAGCAACAGAGGAATCGTTGACGATACAGCACTGGAGGAGATGCTGTCAAACACATTATGGTAAAAGATCCTGGGGGCCATTTTTTATTTGTTGCTGGCCGTTTACTTTCCATTTATATCTCCTAAGATTCAGTTGTTCCATCAGCATTATTTAAATAAACATGTATTCAAAGATTATAGAGACTGTGATTACTGATTGCTCCTTTTGAGAAAAGTGCTAGTTGTCTAGATGTCAGGCTAATGCTATAAATTTAGGAGAAGAGAGCCACACCAAGAATATTTTTATTTCATTACAATATATCTAAAGAAGCAAGTCATTGCGTTTTGTTGGTTTTAAGGAACTCCATTAAACAGGATTAAATATACTGATGACAATTGGACTCAAACATATTAAAATTTTAGTATCTTGAGAACCAGGCATCAGCAGCTGATTTAAGTCACCCTGATGATCCAAAGGTATCCATATCATCTGTGGCACTCATTTAGAACAAGTTTTCTTGTACTGGTTAGTAAAGAGCGAACTGAGAAAAGTTTGGTTCACTGGACATTCACAGAACAAACATTAAAAAAAATGAACATAGCAGCAAAACTTCACTGAAACCTGTGGGAGCTGAAACTTGTTTTTTGGCATTTGCAGGGCCAGTTTGCAAGCTTTTGTTAAAAAAGGGCATGGGTATCTGTGCACTTCCATTAATGACATGTATTAATGAAAAAAAATGTTTGTGTAGCAGAGTACTGAAAGTGGCCTGGAGGAGGCTGCTTGTGCCCACTCTCCTCTTTCATTCCTGCCACTGTGATGCTGACTGAGAGGAAAGCTATGATCTTCAGTTTGCTCTCTCCCCTCACTTCCCTGCTGCTGCACAGCATGAGAGTGGCTATGTGATTTCTGCTCACTCCTGCCCCCCCCCCCTTACTCCTGGCAGTAGATGATCTGAGCCAATGAGGGGAGGGAGAGAGGGAGAAAACTTGCTACAGTCCCCATGAATTCTGGGATATGTAGTCCTTAAAGGGGCACAGCACAATACAAGCGAATCAAGACTAATGGGCTGTGCACTACAAGGGACACAAATCACTGCACACAGGGAAGGAGAGACACAGGATTTTTCCCGGGCAATTCTGAAGAGATCTTTTACAGGAAGAAGCTGAGCTGTAAGATGGGTGCAAGAATACCTGCAGCCTGGAGACCAGAGAATGTAGAACCACCATTGGGGTGTCTATGCCTACACCAGGAAGGACATGGAGGATCTGCAGGGGGGGAGACTTATAAGGCTTACAAGAATTTGTAAGGCCCCCAGATGTCTGATCCTGTTCCCTACATGGATTCGTAGGAGTACTCTTGGTTACCAATTCACAAAAAAAATAAGTAGTTTATAAAAAAAAAACATGTCCCACAATGTATATCCAAAGTTAATCACCTCATAAAGAAATGTAATGACACCATTGACCCCCCCCCCCAGTATAAACATAAGAGCCTTCACAGCTTGTCATAAAATGGCAGCTGGGTGTAAAAAACTGGCAGGGGATCCCAGGTGAGTTTGTTGACCAAAAATAGTTTTGGGGATATTCGGTCAATGATGTTAGCCAACAGCACCCCAACCAATGTGATTATGTTCCGCAGCCAGCCAGGTGTATCTGTATCTTAGCCTATTTGTTTCTGTTACTGCCCTTTGCTATGTTATAAGATCCCATTACTGCCTGTTGCCTTCCTGTAGCTATGGTCATCCTGCTGTAGGTTATGGTTGGGACATTTTGCGGTGGGATCAGCTGATGAATGCATCTTTTGTTTAATCATACGACAGCAAATCTTATTCTGCCTAGTTTCTATACAAGAGGAGGGCCCATTTTTTTCCAGAATGCTTGGGCTTCTTACCCACTAAATTAGTAGTACTAGCCACCTAAAAAAGGCTCTATATTGCCATCTAAACCCTGCTGTGTTTTATTCTATCCGAGGCGACCTCAGTTATTTCTGCCTGGATTTAGCGCTACATAAACAAGGTTGTGGTCATATATAAACAAGGTTATAGTCATATTTGGGCTCCTGATGAAGCAACCAAATGGCAAAATGTGTTGAGACCTGTGACTGTCATCCTGCACTCTGGCCCTCTACATTCTACAACTCATAATGTGCCAATTATATCTGTTTAAATAGTTATTGTTAATATTGGCCTACCTGGATAGCGCTCCCTCAGGGTCATCTATACAGTTGATCTTTGCACGCATGGGATAACTTGTTTTTATTGGTATATAAGCTTTTTATGAATATTGATGGTAATAAAACTTTTTGCATTTTAAGGTTGTGTATTCATCTTTTTCTTGGAGTTATGCCTGTCACCTTTAAGTCCTTTTTTGCTTTTTGCTTTTTCTATAGCTATGTTCGTGGATTATGCCCATTGCTGGCTGCCAATCCTGACTTCTTACAGACTCTGGTGTAGTCACCTTTACCACTTGCCCTCCTGAGGATTTACCCCCCTTCCTGATCAGGCCATTTTTTGCGTTACGGCGCTGCGTTACTTTAACCAGTTCCCAACCACGCTATGGCCGAAGGACAGCTACAGCGTGGTTGTGTAATTCTGGGACGACATCCAGGAATGTCACTCCAGAACACGCTCCCCTGTGTGCCCCCAGCGGCGTGCACCTGGCGCAGCCGGTGATAGCTGTGTCCTACGGACACAGCTGATCATGTCATATGGTAAATGGCCAATCACAGCAGCCTTTTACCACATGATCAGCTGTGTCCAATGGCACAGCAGATCACTGGGTAAATACAATTGTCGGTTATCGGCTTGTCACAGCGTGAGGAAAGTATTGCCGAGAACTGACAGTTGTCAGTGAAGGGATCGGCACTGATGATCAGTGCCCAGCAGTTCCGCCCACCTGTGCCCATCAGTGCCGCCCACCTGTATCTATCAGTGCCACCCACCTGTACCCTGTAGTGCCACACACATGTGT